TAATTTTAAAAAGGAAAAAAATCCCACCTATAATCCCAAAATATGTGTAATCCTGATGGGAACTAGAACATTCCCCAGCCAAAGAGATATAGGTAGAATTGTTACCGAAATTTTGGATACTTATCCCCAAGGCCAAAGAACGAGGACAAGTAGTTTGAGGAAAAGAAAGAGAGGTTTATTAATTTGCCAGCAAGTTTGCCAGCAAATTTAAATCCTGGGCAGGAATGTGGATCTTAATTCCCAAAAAGGGTGAGGGGTTTTAAAGAGACAGCTTATAGCCAGGTGCAGTGGCTCACACCTGTAATCCTAGCACTCTGGGAGGCTGAGGCGGGAGGATTGCTCAAGGTCAGGAGTTCAAGAGACAGCTCATAAACCATTTTGCCCTTTTTCAGACCTTTACCTCTGTTACATATTCCCCACTGTCAATTTTACCCTTCCATATCTATGGGAGGTTGGGCAACGTAATCATTGAGCTACTTCCTGCTGAACTGGGGCAATGTTTTATACGGAAGGTTTGTACTTATTTATGCCATTGCAAAGCTTTGGCAGTAGATTTACGCAAATACAGAATGCAGCAGATTACCAGGTGAGAAGAGGGCATAAGCGACAACTACAACCATGAGGATTGACAAGGTGAAATGGAGGATACCTGATAAAAGAGATTTTACCCCACTTGGTGTCTAAGACACCGGTAGGACTGTGGGTCCTTAATGTCACCTTGTACATAATTTCTGATACAGGGCTGGGTGAGAAAGAAACATGGGACCTCTGAGTATGGAGCTATTAGTCACAATAGCAAACCCAGCAGTGACACAGATCAGCAGAAGAGGCTATAGATTGGGAAATCCTCATTAAGGAGTTGTTTCTCCATCTTCATAGGGTCCCTCCCATTGCTCTACCAGTTGTTATTTGGGTCCTTGTTCTCTCCAGGCTTTAAGCAACACCTGGTCTCCTGGTTTAAAGGAGTGGAGGGGTGCTTCCAACTGGGGCGGGACCTGAGACAGGCAAATTAATGCATAGTGATTAGTATTTGATTTATGTGTTTGACATATTGCTTTACTCTGCTTTCCTTACTCATTATTATATTACTGTATTTACCTTGGGGTGCTAGGAAGGGTCTCTCAAAAACTATTTCATGGGGGCTTAACTTAAGCCTGCTTCTAGGGCCTACCCTTATCCAGAGGAGGGCAAGCGGCAACACCTTATTCCACTTTAGGTGGGTTCGACAGCGTACAATACCGTTTACGGCACAGAGATCCTGTATGAATCTATACGCATTAGCATGGGGCTTCTTGACAGGAAAGATTGGAGTATTACAAGGGGACCAATAAGGATGAATTAGTCCATGAATTCCTTCCAACGCTTCCTTTTTAAGGGGGTATTGTTTCTTATGAGGGTGTGAGGTCCCTTCTTTTAACAGAATGGTAATTGGTGTGGCTGTTACGGCACGTCCCAGGGCCCCATAGGTCCATATGGCCTTACTCACTTTTTGGGTAGACCTCAGGAGGAACGGAATTCACTTCTTCTTGCAAATTTGCAGTTGCAGCAGAAGATGTGCAAGTCTGCTGAGGCCCAGGCTTCAAATGCTCCACAGCACTGCTGTGTGCTTCACCAGGCCCCACATTCTCCCGGCTCTCTTCCCCCACTTCCTCCCTCTCCCTCTCTCTCTCTCTCTTTCTCATTCTCTCTGTCATTCTAAAGGATAAAATAAACTTTTTAGTTATATCTTAATATCTGTGTGAGAAATCTTCCTCCACCCGCGCCATGAGCACCTACTTGCCTTCCACCCTAACACCCAGGAGTGGGAACGGTGGGCGGTATGGTACGCGAGTGTATCCACACATCCCCCCGGCAATGATTATCCGGGAAAGTCCAGAGTCACAGACCTATAAAAAAAGCTAGAGACAAGCCCAAATTCTCAGTATCTTCATGGTTCAAGAGCTCTAAGTCAACAGCAAAATAAGAGGCAACCAACCCATAGGGAAGTCCTGTAACTCAGCCAATGAAAGAGAAAAGTGTTGTAACAGATAACTCCTGTGGAAGATGAGCTCACAGGTAAGAAATATGAAACAAATGAGGATGTCTAGCTCCATAAAAATACCCTCAATAATTCAGACCAAAAAAAATCCAAAAAGAAATCTTAAAGGTACTTTAAAAACAAATGTGTATTAATCAATTGTATGTTTAATTTAATTGAATAATTAACACAGATATTAATTGGCGTGCTTTTCTTTTCTGCACTTCCTCGTGTGTGACTCTTCCCCTGTGAGTCAAAGGCATCCATCCTACCTTGAGAAGAATTAGGATTATTATAGTAGGAATACAAAAGACAAAAGCAATATTTGCTTTGGAGAAGTTTTTACTTCTAAAATAAATTACTGAGAATCAAGAGGGAAGAGCTGAGAGTATCAGAGAACAGACCCTAGACAGAGAACAGAAGACTTGCTGCTCACCGTGTCCCCTGCCACTGGGGAGGTGGAATTGTTACGGCAGGGCTGATCGGGAATAGACCAAGAGACGCACACAGAGATTTCGGCAATACAGGTTTTATATGCCGGCCGGCAAGGCTCAGAGGGGAATTTGCTCTCCCCAAATTCTGAGCACCAGACAAAGAGCATTGCAGTCTTTTATACACTCTGCTTAAGGAGGAGGGGCACGGCTGCAACAGGGTTAACTTTAGCGAGGCAGGATCTTGAGCCACTTTACAACCTGGTACACTACTTGCTACAGGTGATTTATGAGGGGAAAGGTCACAGGGCAGGAGAGGAGGAGGGGCACGGTCACAACAGGGTTAACTTTAGTGAGGCAGGGTCCTAAGCTACTTTACAGCCTGGAACACTACTTGCTACAGGTGATTTATGAGGGCAAGGTCGCAGGGGAGGAGGGGGCCCAGGTAAGGATCACAAGGAAAAAAAAGCCCGGTAGTGGAATTTCTAAGAATTCCACTTTAGTGGAATTTTCCAATCTTCCACTTCAGAATCAGGACGGCTTGGACTAAGCAGAGAGGTAGAAATGGGCTGTGGCCATGAAAAAAGCAGGAGGCCTGGATCTGAGAAGCTCTCACTTGAGGACACACGAAGATGAATAGAAGCAGCATGTGGAGGGGCTGTCGGGATTATCTGTGGCCAGAGACAGTGGCCTCGGAAGGCTGAGCCTAAGTCTTCAGGTGACTTGTGGCCTCCTGAGTGAGCACCTTGTCATCCCCAGTTGCTGTTCTTCTCAGTTCACGGGGTGAAGGCAGTCAGCAGAGACAAACCTGTACAATGCCCCTTCGAGTAGCCAGTAAGACACTCGCCCATCTCCAAGAATTTGCCAAACATAGTTGTAAGGAAAGAAGCACCTCTCTATATAATGATACAGAACAATCTCCAAAATATACTATTAGGGATAATGCAAAGAGTATGATAGTTCAGGTAGTAGAGTTCCATTTATATAAAAGAAAAACATATACACATGTATATGTGCATGTAGTTATTTATATTCGTATGTGTAAAGAATGTCTCCAAACGATACACAGAAGCTGGTGCCAGCGGTTGTCTCTAGAGAGTAGAAGGTGGCTGAGGAATTGAGTGGGTGAAGAAGTTCTTATATTATAAATTCTTTGGTTCCTTTGAACATTTTTATTATACATATGTATTACATATTCCCCAAATTGAAAACATATCAATAAATATTCACATAACATGGCAATTTTATTTATAGATATGTTGCCTGCTGAAGCCCTCACATATGTATGTACAAGAGGGAAAAAATACAACATTGTGTATAAGGGTGAAACACTAGAAACAACCAAAATCTTCATCAATAGAGGAATGAATATGTAAAATATGGAATAGCATATAACATGCAGCAGTTAGACAGAATAACATATAGATCTAGGAGAGAATAGCACAGAGCAATTAAAGGAAATGAACTGGATTAACTTCCCATGTGATCAAGACTCAAAAACACATGGAGCAGAAAAAGAACATAACATAGGGTATATATTTTGAGTATATAATTTGAGTAAAAATTTTAAGAACACACTAAGTAAAAGTATAAAAATGGACTAGAAGGATACCAAACTCACAATGTAATTTACCTCTGTGGAGAGCAAGGTTGGGGTGTGGTGGGGAGTTTCCTCCATACCTGTAATATTTTATTTCTTAAAAACAACTACCAAAAATAAATAAATAAATAAGCCAGGCATGGTGGCTCACAACTGTTATCCCAGCACTTTGGGATCGCCTGAGACAGGAGTTAGAGACCAGCCTGGACAACATAGTAAGACCCCTGTCTACAAAAAAAAAGAAAGAAAGAAAAATTAGCCAGGCTTGTGCGCATGCCTGTAGTTCCAGCTACTTGGGAGGCTGAGGGGGTAAAATCTCTTGAGCCCAGGAGTTTGAGGCTGCAGTGAGCTACGATCATGCCACTGCACTCCAGCCTGGGTGACAGAGTGAAATCCTGTCTCGAAAAAAAAAAAGGAAGCAAATATGACAAAATGTTAAAAGTTTTAATTCTGAGTGACAGGACTATAGATGTTTGTTATTTTATCCTTTATGTTTTTCTATATTTTAAAAGTTTCTAGAAATTTACATAAAAGTATGCATATCCAGCCAAGGTCCTCCAGACAGATCCTTTTACTTTCTTTTTAAAGTCAAATAAATTCTAGATAATCAGCATTAATATTATTGGTAAGAATTTCCCTAAAAAATTTTGTGTTAGAAGTTTTGAAACATTTAGAAATTGATTGTGATTCAGATTTCATACTTCAGATGATGAAACAGGATGGAACCATTGGACGTTTGAGGCTTGTTACAGCATGACTCCCTTACACACCCATTTGTTCCTCCCCCAGCCTCTGTGTCTTCCAGATTCCACTTAGCATATCTGTTGAGAAAGCAAGACTTGCTTTGGGGCATATTCATTTTCCTTGTGGCTCTTTGCTGTTTGTGGAACATGAAACGTTCTACAGGCGGAGCTCTTTAAAAATCCAAGTCTCCACTCTACTCGATCACTTCGGTTCCAGCATCCTGCCCAGCAAAGAAGCCTTTGGCCAAAATGATTCCCGGAGGCTTAACTGAAGCCAGGCCTGCCACTCCAGAAATCCAGGAGATTGCTGATAAGGTGAGTTGACTCCCGGAAGAGTTTGATCCAAAAATCTTGGTTCATAGGTTGTCCCCATGGTGAGGGTGTGGGTGAACATGAGAACCAGAACATTGGGAAGTATGTGGTTTTGTGCAGCCTTCCTTACAACTAACATGGTATACTGAGCTTCTCAGCTAAAACCTCCAATAATCCCAACACTGTGAGAGTGACCTTGAGCATTTGCTTTCTCTGAGCTTCATTTTCCCCATTTGCAAAAGAAGAATTTATATTGGGTCATTTCTAAAGCTCTTACAGGGTATGATTCTAGGATTACTTATTCAGTTTGTGATGAAATTTTTCTAATCTCACCAAGTGAAGCCAACATGTAATTAAAGTCTAAGGTTGTTAACAATTTGATGAAGTAGACTTGGAATGCATTGCAGGGAGTTTTTTAAAATAAGTCAAAAGAAGAACAATATTGTAAAGGCACTTACCAACTTCCTATACGTTTGCCTAAATAGCGTCTTAGTCTTTTCGTAGTTAGAGGGTGATCAAACTAGTAGAAAAGAGAACTGGGATAGTTGATGGTGATTCTAAAATGTTATAGGCACCCAAATTATTTATCCCAGGGTAAAATAGAACTCAATGTTTTTAGCAAGTTGATACATTTTCTAAATACTGTTTGATTAGCTATCACCCATATAGTAAAAATTTATTTGCATATTTTATGAAAGAAAATGCATACAAATTACTACTTTAGGTTTGTAATTTGTTGCCTTATTGTTTTGTATCGTTCCTTCTTGTTTTTGCTCTCTGAAATGTCATTCTATGGCACTGTTTGGCAAGCAAGATCAGCTATTTGTGTGATTTAAGAGATGGGATCCTCTATGTTCAGGAAACTCCCTAAGGAGCCAGAGGCCTGGAATTCTACCACTCATTCTTTGGGACTAAATATTTCTCATTCAAGAGATGTTTAAAAAAAAAATACTGTGGAGCTTTTTTTTTCTTGAAGAAGGTGATATTAAGTCATTAATGCCTTTATTTGAATCTCCCAATCAAATCAGCATTCACAAACTTGAATGTGCGCATGAATCACCTACGGGTTTTGGTGAACTGAAGATTCTGATTCAGGAGGTCTAGGGTGGGCCTGAGATTCTGCACTTTGTCAACAGAAAAGAACCCAAACTCATAAAATAATTTAAAGAGGTTTATTCTGAGCCAAATATGTGTGATCATGGCCCAGAGAGCCACACCCAAGAAGCCTGTTCAAGGGGTCTTGCCATGGTTGGGTTACAGTTTCATTTTACACATTTCAGGGAAAAGGAACTACACTTAAAGTCATAAATCAATACATGGAAGGCATACATTGATTTGGCCCAAAAAAGCAGGACATCTCAAAGCAAGAGATTACAGGTTACAGGTAGTTTTAAAGATTCTTTGATTTGTGATTGGTTAAAGAAATTAAGCTTTGTCTAAAGGCTTGGAATGTTTTAAGTAAAGACAAGGAAGTCTATTAATCAGAGACAAGCCACTGGACATATACTGGACATACAACCATACTCAAGTGATCTGTTAAGTAAACTGATGACCTGAAGGGGTGATTTAAGCTTTGTCTTGCATAGCCTTGGGTCTGCTTATGAGTTACAAAGGATGTCTCCAAGAAGGGAAGGGGGCATGATGAGGCATGTCTGACCTCCCTTCTCACGGCCAGCAACTCAGCTTTAGGATATTTCTGGGGTCCCCTTGGCCAAGAGGATTTCCATTCAGTCTTCTGGCATGCTTAGTATTTTATTTTAGTTCACAATTTCTACCAGGCTCACAGGCAATGCTGCTGTTGTATAGGACTCACGTTCCTACAGGACCAGGGATATATGACATCCTACAAAGCCTATGGGAGATGGGGCTCTAAAAATCAGGAGGCCAAAATAAAACTTCTCAATTTCATTTGTAAAATGAAGATAACACCTCTTGCCTTGCCAGTCTCAGAGGTGTAAGGACTAAGTAAGATATGTGCATTAAAATGATTTGAAAATGAAAAAGAAATATGCAGATGAGGCATCACAGTTGTTTACTTCAAACTTTTGCCTGAAATCATTCCTGGCCCTTTAGGGGACCAGAGCTGTAGGGGGATAGGGAACAGTAGAGATTTGGAATAGAAAGGGTACAGAAAATTTTAATGACTTTTTAAAAAGCCTATCGCTTGGTTAGCAAGAATAATAATTTTTTTAGATAAGAAGCTGCTGGAAGGCCTTGCATTGTTAACAACACCTATTTGTAAGCCACATCTTACATTAAAAATTAATTTGAAAGTGTGTTTCTGGCTGCTTACCTCAGGCTCCACCTCTGCCAGAGAAGAATGAGAGACAGTATTAACAACAGCTACCTTGCCTCAGGAGGGTGTTTTGCAATTTTAAAAGCCTGCCCTCCAATTCAACCATGCGTTTGATCCTCGTAACCTCTGGGGCAGGCAGGAAAAGCATCATATCCATTTACCAGATGATGAAACCAAAATTCAAAGAGGTTAAGAGTCACTTACTCAAGTGAGCTTACCCTCAGATTTTTCACACACAGTGGCAGAACATCGAGAAGCTCTGTGAGGGGAGAGAGTATGGGAAACTTGTCTTCTCTGTGCACACACCAGCCTCACATTTAAATCAATATGGAAGTGAATATTAACGAATCATTTCATGGTAGGTGCATTTCGTGAATATTCTCTTAGGTGTCTAGCCTTGTTCTAAATATTATAGAAGCTACATAAGGGCTGTGAGATAGCCCTGCCCTCAAGGAGTTTACAGTGTAGGGGAAGTCAAGATAGCTGGAATATCCAATTAACTACTTTTACACAGTCATAGGTTTTAGACCAGAAAAGACATTAGAAAGTGTTTGTCAAACCTCCTTACTTTCAGGTGAAAAATTACTGTGTAGTAGTTCAGTTCCTCAGGTGTTGAACTCCTCATTATATCTTATCTGGCCTCTCTTGCAAGAGAGAGCCATAGGGAACAATTCCCAGGCGATTGTTGGAAGGTAGAGGAGTAGTCAGGAGACTCTTTATAGTCTTCCCATTAATTATATCATTTATTCTCCTACAAACAACCCCAAGAGGCAGGTATTCTTATACCCACCTTATGGATGAGGAACTTGAATCAACTCCAAGATTATAGAATTAGTTAGGTCTCCATGCAGGAGTAGGCAAATGGGCAGGTGCTGGGAACTACAGCCCAAGTATGATTTGGGGAGGTTCAGGGAAGATCTCTACTACCCGTCATTTACTTTGTAGTTTTATTCCTTTGATTTTTTTAATATATTTCTATTTTTTAAAATCATCTGTTAAAATGCAATATTCTTAGAGGAGCTAAAGTTAATCAGCTTTCTCTGTACTTATCCAAGAGCTTCTTAGCAGAATGCCAGCTGAAGGAAGAGCCCCATTGGGGAGGGGAGGAAGTATCAAAGAAAAGTGATAGTGGGCGTCCAAGGAATTTGAAGAGAGGGGTTGGATGAGGTCAGAAAGAAAGGAAAGGCAAACAAAGGGTTTGGGGATTGAGAAAACTTGAACTTTTTGAAGGCAGAGGAAAAGAGCTTGCCCATTCTGAGGATAGCAGAGATTGAGTGGGTCACTGTGGTGTCATGTATTAAAGGGTGCCAAAAGTACTTGTGTCCAGAGTACACTGGAAGTAGCCTCCTCTTCCAAGATTCTTTGTATTAGTTAAGGGTCATCGCTATACCCATCTATTCTATTGTGGGAGACAAGTTGTCAGGATGGAAAACATGGATTATGTAGACAGTACCGTGTGAAGGGTGGAGGGGGACTCGAAATGGTTCCTGCCCTCAGGAAAAATTACAAAATAGATGGGAGGAAAGGGAGACACATAAAGGAATACAGAGCCATGCACAGCCATCCATGGAAACTATAATATGTGCAATGGAGAACCAAATAAATGAATGGCCCCACAGCAAAAGCCTCCGGATCATTATGACTGATCTATTATCTTACGTCATATGTAAATAAACATTAGATGAGAATCCTAAGTATGTTTATATGATGGGAAGAAATGTTATTTAATAATTATTTTTAGAAATAAGGGCTATTTTACACATGCAATGTGCACACACACCTGTTAATCATAAACTTGATTGCTGAATACCACCCCTGACACAGAACATACTTTTTGGCATCCAGGACACCACACAAATACCGCATCGGCATACCATCCTGGACACACCCTGCAGTTCTGCATGTCATGCCTCTCACTCACCCACATCCACAAATTCGTATTTCTCTCTGTCCACATCGTCCTCCTCGGCCACTCTCCTGCTGCCCCACACCCAAAGAACCTGCCATTCAGCCACACTAGAGTCCTCCAGGCACTCGCCTCCCACCTTCATCAGAACATGCCCCAGCCCACTCGGTCACTCATGCAACCTGGACCCCATGCTAGGCGGTTTCATACACTCCTCTGCCCCTGATTTCCATGACCTGGGAGTTCCTGGCATGCCAGTCCTCAGAGATCACTCCCACTGCACCACTTCCTCCTTGGCATCTGCTCCAGGATCAAAGAACTTTGCTCAAGGAAGGTTCAGAACCACAGAAACCTCACCCATTTCAAATCTCGGAATTCACACGAACAACCGCAGCAGGACCCTGGGTGCCAGGACATCCTTTCAGTCTTATTTGCTGGTCATTCTCTAGAAACTGCACAGAGGCTACTCAGTCCCTCCCATCCCCATGGTTCCTCCAGCAGGTGTCTCAGCTCCTGCCCTTCTTAGAGGATTGAACGCAGCTGGTGAGAAATGCCCCAGTGACCCTGTACCCCACTGGCTCTCCATCCTCCCTCCAGTCTTAGGCTCTGTCCTCCTTTCTTTAGCCAGCCCTTCCTCTCTTAGCCAGGTGACTTCATTTCTTGCATCCTGGGTGCCTTGCCCCATACCTCTTCTTCCCTTCAAAACATAGTTAGACGACAAATGTCCACAAGTCACATCTTACCAGCCCTATTGTCTTTTCATGCTACTACGCAAACTCTCCTTCCTTACTCTGTAAAATGTCCCCAAATATAATCTATCCATGTTTCCACCATTATCCTTCTATCCAGTCTCTCCTAAATTACGCACAGCCCAACTGCTTCTGTAGAATGATCACAGATTCGGGGAAACGCCTGGGTGTTGGGTGCCTCGTGGCTCAAATGCTCAGATTCAGAGATCTCAGAGAACTAACAACTCACCAAGGTTTGTGCTCCCAGCAATCAGAAAAGCTGAATGACCCTAGGGTATATGTATTTACCAGGTGCTTCTCCCCGGTAGCCTCCTCTCCTGGCTGGGGACCTATCAACAAACCCCCTCTGTTCCTTCCATTACCGCTGCCACCACCATGCATGGCAAGCTGACAGAGGCAAAGGCCAACTGTATTCAGCGTGAGGTCTGTCTGCACACCCCCTCAAGCTCCCGACCGCCACTCCCAAGTGGCCTTCATCCTGCTGGTGCCCATCCTGAGGGGTCTTTCGGCACCGATCTACCTTGTAAAACCAAACTGCCTTCACTGACCAGCTCCCCTACTCTGGCCCTGCTCCCCAGCTCAAATCTCATCACCCAGGTCTAAAGTATCCAACACTAAACCACACAAATCTGTTTTCCTGGAAAGAGGGAGGGAGGCAGCAGGTTGCAAAGGCAGTGAGCCAGAATCAAGGTACACAATCAGACAGGTGCCAGGGTATTTTAGGAGACAAACCAGATATTTGAAATCAACTCTCTCATGGAGAATTCTGGATTTGTGGACAGCACAGATATAATGGAAAGGTTACAGATCTGGATCTATTTCTAGAACAGATAGAAATAAGAACTTATGATACATGCTAAAAAATGAAACATGACCAAAAGACTGAAAAGCAGAAGGAACACAGATCAGATTCTTATGTTACCAGGCAAGAACTTTAAAATAAATATGATTAATAATTTTTCACCCTTAAGCAGTCATGCTCTACTTACAGCCTCAGGTCCCTCATTTGTAAAATGAGGTTTAAATGGATATTTTGTCGGGGAGTGGTGGCTGACACCTGTAATTCTAGCACTCTGGGAGGCCTATGGGGAGGAAAGGTGGAAGTCACTTGAGCTCAGGAGTTTGAGACCAGCCTGAGCAAGAGGGAGACCCTGTCTCTACTAGTGTGTGCCTATGGTCCCAGCTACTCGGGAGGCTGAGGCAGGAGGATCACTTGAGTCCAGGAGTTTGAGGTCGCGGCGAGCTATGATGACACCACTGCACTCCACCCTGCAACAGAGCAAAACTGTCTCAAAAAAAAGAAAAAAAGAATGCTTTTGGGGTTAGTGTAGAGATTCACTCTTTCTGACTCAGCTCCTAACTTGGCTGGTAGCCAATGTTGGCAACCCCTCACTTGGAAGCACAAAATGCTTAGGACAGAGGACCCTACAACAGTAAGCCCTTTCCTTATCTTCTCTCTGCACCCTTGTCCACCTTCTACTCTCTCCTACGCCCTGCCTCCTCCCATTTCTGTTTTTTTCTATTTGTCTTCTCCCTTTCTCCATTTTGGAGCTTCATTTTCCATCTCAACAAAGCAATCACATTTTTCCCATCTATTCTGAAGGTTATAGGAGAAATTGATGGTGGAGCACAGTGTCTGGCCCCTCAAAAGTAGTCTGAGAACTCGTAGTTTGCAAACGTCTATGTCTTTAAAAACAGTTCTGGTACCCAAACTGAAGCAACAACACAAAAGTATTCAAAACGTCTGCCCTCTGATGGGGAGGACCAGGTGGCCTCAGGAGGCCTGACTGAAGCTGTGTGTGCGCATAGAGTGCTTTAGCGAAGGCCACGGAGGCGATTTCCCGGTAAACAAGGTATATTCAACACACAGAGTTATTTCCTTTTCCATCCAAGACTGAAGGCGAGGGGCACAGACCCCAGATAAAAGACAAAAGGAGATAGGCAAACGACACCACAGAGATACCAACAATATTTTGGAAGATGGAAAACAGATGAACAATGGAAAATGACTGAGTGGTCCAGACAGAACCTAAGCCCACAGAGGGGAAAGTCCAAGCCAGAAGTAGGCAGACTCGTGTTGGAGAACTTCACAACGGCTCAGGCGTTAGCAACACCAGAAACTTAAAGACAAGAGTGAGGCATGGGGCCAAAACCGAGAGGTTTGACCGGAGAGCCATATGAGGAACAATTGGACCTTCCCCTCTCCTCTCCTCCACCCTAGAAGACAAGCTATTACCCTGGCAGAAGACTGGAGCTCTACTCTTAGCAGAAATTGAGGCAGAGGGATCGTAGGAGACTCTGGCATCTCAGGCCCACCTGAGGGTAGGAATGAAGGACCAATACTGAAAACCGGTGGACTCAGTAAAAGTTTACACACTGAATTTGGGACTCTCTAGCTCCCTTCTCATGCTTGGTTCAGGAAAGCTGGCATCTAAGCATTTATCTCCCTGTGGTAGACAGAATGATGGCCCACCAAAGATGTCCACATTCTAATCCCTGGAACCTGTGACTATGTTACCTTACATGGCAAGAGGGACTTTGCGGGTGTGATTAGGTTAAGGATTTTGAGATGGGGAGGTTATGTTGGATTATCCAAGTATGCCCAATGCAATCACAGGCTCATTTTAAGAACTGTGCACAAATACTGTGCTCTAGTTAGTAAATTTACTTTGTATAGGGGTATGGGTTAGCAATTCTGAAACCGTTTTATGCATATGCTACAACTGAACGAGTAAGTAAGTACATTGGGAGTAATGAGAACCAGACTTCTTTCTCAGGGTGTGAGAAAGGTGTTACAGATAAGGAGAGGGGCAAAGCTAAATGAATTCTATGGTGTTGGATTATAGACACACACACACATATAATGTACATTCATAATGTATTATGTGTACACACACAAATGTGTGCACTTATATATATTTATACATATACAGATCAATAAAGATGTGTGTGTGTGTGAGTATACATACATATATTTTGTAGCTCTTTGTACTGAGTGGGCCCAGAAGCAATGACGTCTAGTAACAATGAGAATATACAGTGCCAAAATTTTGGATCTTAAATACCATTCTCCAATAAAAGGAGCCAGGGTCATTTTTCCTTGGAGAAATGATTGATTCCAGTGGGAGGCAGGGAAAATTCAAGATAAGCCTGGAATATCTTGTAGTTGCTCATAAAATGCTGGAGGGATGTTGAAAGGACACAGGCATCAGTGGAAACTAGAACAATTTGAGCAACAAAATAAGTAGTAATGAATTATAATCCATAGAATAAAAGAAATGTGCATGAGCCATATTAATAGAAAAAAAGTAACTGAATAACTAAATAGGAGAGAGAGAGAAAAGCTCTTCCTTATAATAGAATTCGTTAATAAATGTACAAGAAATGATAGAAATGGAAAAGTCCCCATTTGGCAAACTCCACAGTAATAATTGTTGTGGACAAGAAGCATCAATGGATGCTGAAATTGGTGGATGAGAGTACGAAGAGAAACAGAACAGCCGCATAGTCAGGAAGTGTCTCCTCACAAGACTTTTATTATTATAATTACAAAGAGAAAAAATAGTAACTTTACAGTGGAGAAACCTGGCAGACATCCTAAGTGATCAAAATGAACATCACTAGTAATGAAACAGGATATGTGGTTCCTGATAGAATGCACTAGAGCACATTACTCTTGTTTTGTCCTTACGAAAATGTAAAATATTGACATAAGAGGAGATCAAACAATCCCAAGTTGAGGAACATCCTACAAATTATAAGGTCAGTATTCTTCAAAATTGTCAAGGTCGTGAATGACAAAGACAGACCTAGAAGTTAACCCAGATTACAGGAGACCAAGGAGAGATGGCAACTAAATGCAATGTAGGACCCTGGATGACATCCAGGAGCAGAAAAGAGATATTCTAGGGACAATTGGCAAAATTCTAATAAGGTCAATCAACCACTTAATAATATTATACCATGTTAATTTCCTGGTTTGGTTATGGTTATGTAAGATGGCAACATTAGGGGAAACTGTGAATGAAATAAGAGAATTTAGTGTACTATTTTTGCAACTTTTAAGTCTAAAATTATTTCTAAATAATTTTTTAAAAAATCAAATAGTAATTATTGCTCTCCTATTTTTTATCAATGAAAGACACAGATAACTATGAGCTTTACAAATCAATACCATATTTCATTACTACACCAAGTTAATGTATAATAAATTCAGCCTAGAGCAACAAAATTTGACATTTTAACCCATGTAATCTTATTAAAGATAGGTGCTTTCTGTTGAAATACTAAAAACAGCTCACAGATTTCATTCTCATCTTTGAGGACTTTTAGGAGCACGAGGTTCCCAGATTGGTAAATCACATAAATGGAGTCCAGTATAGCTTTGATAATTTGTTTTCTCTTTTCTCTTCTCAAGGTTAAACCACAGCTTGAAGAAAAAACAAATGAGACTTATGAAGAATTTGAAGCTACAGAGTATAAAAGTCAAGTAGTTGCTGGAACAAATTTCTACATTAAGGTTAGAGTTCAACATCCACCTTAGCACTAAACAACATTATATTTCTCAATTTACATAAAATGCTTCCTGTTTCCCCTACCATCTAAGACTGTAGGCTTAGATGTCAGACCACTCTGGGTTTAAACCCTTGCTGGATTTGTTCTACTAATCAGAACCTGTGTGATTGAAGCTCCCTCCTCATCCTCTCTGAGCCTTCATTTCCTCATCCGCACAATGGGGGTAATAACCTACTTTGCAGGGTATTGTTAGGTATACGTGAACTAGGAATTTACTGAGCACTTACAATGTGCCAGGCACTATTCTAACAGCTGGACATGCATTATCTCATGTAATCCTCACAACAAATATATGAGATAAGTATAATCACTTCTCTTGTGTTACTGATGAGAAAATTGATCACCGACTGGTGAAGTAACTAACAAAGGTTACTAAATTGTAACAGTAGAGTCAGGATTTGAACCCAGGTAGTCTGATGCTTACCTACTGGCTGTGCTGCCTCTAGTAATGTTTGCAAAGATTGATGCCCTGTTCCAACTACAAAGAAAACGTCTTTAAAAGGTTACGCTGGGCGGGGCGCGGTGGCTCACGCCTGTAATCCTAGCACTCTGGGAGGCCGAGGCGGGCGGATTGTTCTGAGCTCAGGAGGTCAAGACCAGCCTGAGCAAGAGCGAGACCCCGTCTCTACCAAAAAATGGAAAGAAATTAATTGGACAGCTAAAAATATAGGGAGAAAAAATTAGCCGGGCATGGTGGCACGTGCCTGTGGTCCCAGCTACTCGGGAGGCTGAGACAGTAGGATTGCTTGAGCCCAGGAGTTTGAGGTTGCTGTGAGCTAGGCTGACGCCACAGCACTCGCCCCAGGCAAGAGAGTGAGACTCTGTCTCAAAAAAAAAAAAAAAAAAAAGGTTACGCTGTAGAGTGAAAAGAACATAGATGTTGGAGCCCCACAGATCTGGGTTTAAATATTGGCTCTGCCACTTACTAGCTGAGAGATTTATGGAAAACTACTTAATCTCTCTTAACGTTTTTCCACATCGGTAAAATTGACATGGTTCTGCCTTTCTTCAGGCCTATAATAATAAGTAAATATAATCATGTCTATGAGATACTCGTCATAGTGTCTGGCTCATAGTAAACATTTGATAAATGGCAATTGTAAGGATAGGAAGTAACATCAGAACACAATAAATATTATTATAAGACAAAACTTTTATTGTTTCAACCAAGAACAAAAGTAAAAGTTCTTACCATGAGTTTACAGGTCCCAGATTCATGTCCAAACTACTGTTTCTAACTTCATACCAATGACTTCCTAGCAAGACCCCTGTAATTTAGAAGGGAGACTGTCTGCCCCCTGTGCCCTGCTCAGTCCTACCAGTGGGCATTTATAAAATGGGTTCTAATATAGGTGTGGGAACCATGCATTCCAAATTTTCTAGGGCAATTCTGATCTTCTCCCATGTCAAACTGCATGGCAAATAAAGTGTCACAATTTGGGAGTCAGAAAACAGCATCACCAAAAATATAGGCTGTCACTTGTTTTCTTGCTCTGTGCAACTTTGAAAATAAAATGCAATTCTGGGATGTCATTTGTGCTCAGATTATAACTTAAAAAATAACAAAATAAACCTGGGGCCTATGCTCATTGCCATGCTATTAGCCTACCCTTTCTCTCATAAAATAAGGTGGTGAGTTTATGGAAGTAACGAGCCTAAGAATGGTGGGCTGGTCTAGCAATGCTGGTTCCCAAGGGCTCACTGCATTGTCTTTACGGGCTTGGAGATCTTTCACTTTATGGAGGCCCCTCTGAGTGAATCTTTTTCTTTTTCTTTTTTTTAATTTCCTTCAGGTACGAGTAGGTGAAAATCGTTATGTTCACTTGAAAGTATTCAGAGGTCTTTCTAGAGAAAATCAGGATTTGGAACTTTCTGGTTACCAGACTGACAAACGCAAGGAGGATGAGCTGACCGGCTTTTAGCAACATGTTCCTGAAGTATTCTGGTTCCTTCCACCGGCTACTGAGAAATGATCCTTTCTAGTAAATATAACCAAAAATAAAGAAGTATTGCTTTTCAAATAAATTATTTCTTCAATTATTTCTCATTTATTGTATTAAATAGAAATTACATTTTCTTTCTCAAAGTCAGTGTTATTGCATTGCAGTATAAATCCTATACAAATCGATGTCAGTTGGAAATCTGGTAAAAATTGGTCAGGCCTAATGCAACTGACTAAAGGATACTACCACGTCCACCACAGGCAGGCGGAATCATGGACTATCAGTTAACCAATCTCCTTGTTTCCTGTGGTTCCTGAGACCCCCAACATTCCATCTCTACCCTCACAATTTAAAATTAAATCAAGTATTTTTATTTTGAAACAATTTTAAACTTACAGAAAAGTTGTAAAAAAATCCCCACTTTTTTCCTGGATATTTGAGAGTAAGTTACCTACCATGATGCCCCATCACCAACTAATACTTTAGTGTGCATGTCCTACAAACAAGGATACTCCCCTGCCTAACTGAAAATTAACATAAATCAGAAAATTAACATTAATACACTTCTAGTCTCTGATCCCCAGATACCACTCAAATTTCCCTAGTTGTCCCAATAATGTTTATTACAAAAAGATCCAAGCCAGGTGAGGTGGCATGCACCTAGCTACTAGGGAAGCGGAGGTGGGGGAATCTCCTGAGGCCAGGAGTTCCAGGCTGCAGTGAGCTATGATCTCGCCTGTGAATGCCACTGCACTCCAGCCTGGGCAAGATAGCAAGACCGCATGTCTTAAAAAAAAAAGATCCAGTCCAAAACCGTGTGGTGTATTTAATTGCCATTTTCCTCTTGTTTAACACCTTTATTGAGATATAAATTATATACCATACAATTCACCCATTTAAAGTGTACAATTAGCTTTTAATGTATTCACAAATGTGTGTAAATACTTCCACAGTAAATTTTAGAACATTTTCATCACCTCCAAAAGCAACCCCATACCCTTTAGCTACTGCTTCCTGATCTTCCTCCATACTCCCAGCCCCAAGCAAAGACTACTTTACCTTCTGTCTAGATTTGCCTAGTCTAGACATTTCACATATATGGAATCATATACTGTGTGTTTTTTTGTAACTGGCTTCTTTCACTTAGCCAAATGTTTTCAAGGTTCATCCGTGTTGTAGCATGTATCAGTATTTTATTCCTATTTATGGCCAAATATTCCCTTTTATGTTCTTTGTTTATCCATTCATCAGTTGATGGGTATTTGAGTTACCTTCACTTTTTGACTATTATGAACACTGCTACTGTAAACATTGGCATACAAGTTTTTGTGTGTACATATATTTTCATTTCTCTTGGGTATATACCTAGGAGTGAAATTACTGGTTCATACGGTAACTAACTCTATGTTTAATTGTTTGAGCAATTTACAGACTGTTTTCCAAAGTAGTCTTGTTATTTTACATTCCCACCAACAGTGTATGAGGTTTCCAATATCTCCACATCCCTACCAATACTTGTTATTATCTGATATTTTGAGGCTAGCCATCCTGGTGGGTGTGAAATATCTCATTGTGGTTTTGATTTGTATTTCCCACAGGCCTAATGATGTTGAGCATCTTTTCATGAGATGACAAGCCATTTCTATATCTTCCATGGAGAAATGTCTATTCAGATCCTTTGCCCATTTTTTTAATTTCGTTATTTGTCTTTTTATTATTCAGTTCTAAGAGTTCTCTGCCTATTGTCTTGATCTGCTTTCTGTTGCTTATAACAGAATACCCCAAACTGGGTAATTTATGAAGAGAAGGAATTTATTTCTTACAGTTATGGAGGTGAGAAGTCCAAGGTCAAGGGGCCACATCTGGTGAAAGCCTTCTGGCTGGTGGAGACTCTCTGCAGAGTCCTGAGGCAGCACAAGGCATCACATGGTGAAGGGGCTGAGCCTGCTCACTCAGGTCTCTCTTCCTCTTCTTATAAAGCCACCAGTCCCACTTCCACAATTACCCATTAATCCATTAATCCATGCCTTCATGACCCAACCACCTCTTAAAGGCCCCACCTCTCAATATTGCCACACTGGGGATTAAATTTCAATAAGAGTTTTGGAGGGGACAAATATTCAAACTGTAGCACATATTCTAGATATAAGTCCCTTATCAGATATATGGTTTGTAAATATTTTCTCCCATTTTGTGGTTCTCTTTTCACTTTCCTGATGGTGTCCTTTGAAGCACAAAAGTTTTTAATTTTAATGAAGACCATATTATTTTTTTCTTTTGTTGCTCAAGCTTTTGGTATCATAACTAAGGATCCTTTGCCAAATCCAAACTCATAATGATTTACTCCTATGTTTTCTTCTAAGAGTTGTATAGTTTTAGCTCTTACATTTAGATCTTTGATCCCCTTTGAGTTAATTTTTGTATATGGTGTGAGGTAAGGATGCCGCTTCATTCTTTTGAATGTGCTATCGAATTGTCCCAGCACCATTTGTTGAAAAGACTCTTCTTCCCCCGTTGAATGGTCTTGGCACCCTTATTGAAAATCAGTTGATCATAGGTGCATGAGGCACCCCTATCTTCCTCACCCCACCACCTGCACCCCCTAATCCACACTTACCCCATGTGGTGCTCAAGCTGACACCCTGCCCTGGGCCACCATCACCATCCCTCTACCCAAGTGCCTGCCTTCTCCACTCCAGCTGTGCTCTACCACCCTGGGTGGGCACCTACCCAGGGGATGCCAACTCCAACATCTAGTTTGGGACCAGCCCAAACCAATGTCTGCTTTCCTTGGCCCTACTTAATGGATTTTGAACTGAATTGTTTGGGAAGGAGAGGGGAAGAAGAAGTGGAAAGGAGGGTAAGGAAAAAGGAGAGGAAGGGAGCAGGAAAGAGAAGAGAAAACTTGTTTTAAAGATGCTCTAAAGTTTCCCTCTGGGCTCTGCATTCTGCCCACCACCATACTGGCGCCACTTACCTATCCCCCTGTCCCAAATAATAATAGTTAATATATGGTAAGTGCTTACTATACTCCAGGTAGTATGCCAAAGACTTTACAGATGTAACTCATTTAATTTTCATAACAACCTCATGAGATAAATATCCCTCTTTCTAGAAGACTGAGTGTAGAAATGTTAAGTTACTTAAGCAAGGCCACGTGACTAGTTAGTAGAGAAGTGAGGATATGATTCCAGGCTGTTTGCCTCCAGGGTCAATGCTCTTAACCTCCAAGCACTACAAACACATGCTCAGAATCCATTCTCTCAGCTATTCTGACCCCTGAAGCAGATAAGGAAGTGAGAGTTGAAACAGTGGTGTTTTTTATAACCACTGCCAACTCTTAATGTTTCATAATAGAGAAACTGTCCTATTCATCTGCCTTCAGCTCCCAGCACATTAACAGTCAGTAATTGAAAAATATCTCCACTGGCTAACCGGTATTAATGCTGTAGAGCTCTTATGTAGCAGGAACAACCACAGACAATCCCATTGGCCTGATAATAATAATCAGCTCTATGAACAAATTTCAATGACTATGTGGTTTTTTATAATCCTCCCCCTTAACTAGCTACTTGAACTTTTTCAGTTGTTTCTTGGAAATGGCAGAATTTCTGCAAGACAAAGGAGTTGAGATTCCAAAGGGCCCTGGTTAGACTTCCTGACCCCAGACTCACCATCCCCCACAACCTTCCCCCGTGCACATCTCCTGTATTCTCCAGGAGACGGATTTGAGGCTGCTTCTCCTATTCTCCTGACAGATGTCTTTTGTGTTAAAAAATTCCTTCCATCTTTGGTCATCCTCAGTGTCTCAATAATTGGCTCTGTGCATTGAGCAAACAGACCTAGGCCAGACGCTTTCTGGGTTTGGTAACCATAAGGATCCTTTTCTGAGCAATACAAACAGACACGCACATCTATAGCTATATACACAGAGCCACTGATTAAAGATACATGAAATTCCAAGATCAGGATTATTAGATTTACTTTATCCTGATTTTGGTATGGAAAGTCTGGATATATCATATGTTTAAGAATTAATCTAATAAGGGACAGATAGAACCTATGCAAAGAAAGTCATGCACTGCACAACAGCATTTTAGTCAAAGATGGATCACATGTAACAACAGTGGTCTCATAAGATTACAATGGAGCGGAAAATTCCTATCACCTAGTGACATCGTAGCTGTCTTAATGTCTTAGCGTAACACATCACTCACGTTTGCGGTGATCCTGGTGTACACGAACCTACTGCACTGCCAGTCGTATAAAAGTTTACCACATACAATTATGTACAGTACAGAATACTTGATGATAAACGACTATGTTACTGGTTTATGTATTCACTATACTTTTTATTTTAGAGTATACTCCTTCTACTTATAAAAAAAAAGTTAACTGTAAAACAGCCTCAGGCAGCTCCTTCAAGAGGTGTTCCAGAAGGCATTGTCATAGCAGATGACAGCTCCATGCATGTTGCTGCCCCTTAGGACCTTCCAGTGGGACAAGACGTGGAGGCAGATGACAGTGATATTGATGACCCTGACCCTCTGTAGGCCTAGACTAATGTGCATGTTTGTGTCTTCATTTGTAACAAGAGTTTAAAAAGTAAAAAAATAAAAAAATTTAAAAATAGAGAAAAGCTTATAGAATAAGGATATAAAGAAAAATATTTTTGTACAGCTTTACAATGTGTTTGTGTTTTAAGTTAAGTGCTATTACAAGAGTCAAAATGTTTAAAAAATTAAAAAGTTTTTATGTGTAAAGTAAAAAAGTTACAGTAAGCTTATTATTGAAGACAAAATTTTTTTATAAATTTCATGTAGCCTAAGTGTACAGTGTTGATAAACTCTACAGTGGTGTACAGTAATGTCCTAGGCCTTCACATTCACTCACCTCTCACTGGCTGACTCGCTCACAGCAACCTCCAGATCATCATTTATGGTAATTGCCCTATTCAGGTGTACTCTTTTTTATCTTTTATACTATATCTTTACTATACCTTTTCTATGTTTAGATATGTTTAGACACACAAATACTTACCATGGTGCTACAATTGCCTACAGTATTCAGTACAGTCA